TCTCTCACTCCAAACTTTATTTCTGCTGCTCGATTGCTGTTTGCTACATATTTCACTACTTGCAGCTTGTAATCTGCAAAATATGATTTTCTTTTTGGGGGCATTTGTGTTCAGTCTTTTCAGTCTTTATAAGTTTGTTTAAGTTTTAAATTTTCAGTGGTACAAAATAATGGTGCGATCGACTGACATGATACCGACAGGACAGAGGCTCTTTCTTGCAGGAGACATGCGGAGTAAAAGGTGAAATGACAGTGACAGTGACAGTGGTACAGGAGTAACAGGAGCAGCAGATACTGACACACAAGCCTAGAGCCTCTCATGACTGTCAGTGTGAAAATTTTTACATATAAGTCGCACCAGAATATAAATCGCAGGAAACACCCAAACCATGAAAAAAGTGCGACTTATAGTCCGAAAAATACTTTTACTTGTTTGGTGCTATTTGAAGGTCCCGTATTACACTGCTTTCTGATCTATGTTACAGTGTTGTTTCCTCATTAAAAACCTACCTAGAAATTTGTTTAGCTTTGGCCTCGCCACAGTGTCTGGATCATCACCGCTGGGTTTGAACAAGATCTGCTTGGTGAGCTTTTGCAGTATAGACTTCATTTAATTCAAAGTTAATTTGCTTGAAAACACTTGGAAATGTTCAAAAGGACAATGTGCCTCTCTAAATGGACTTCTCTAAACATGCCAAACTCTAGCTCTGTTCCAATACAAACTTTAAATCATCTCACAAAAACTAAAATTCTCATATTTCAAATACTCAAATGACCTTTTTCAATTGTTTTGCCTCCAAAATCTCCTGTGTTCCACCATGCTTCTGTATCAACAAACTGCAAATACAATGTCAACAATAAAGACCATCCCCCGCTCTTAATTTCCTCACCTTTGGGACATTCTAGACCACGCATTCTTTAAGCTACTCAAACTATGCTACTGGACGTTGCAACTGCTACAACAAAAATGGGGAGCAGAGACTCAGGGAGAGATACTCAGAGGGGATGTAACAAGAACAATAAACCTCGGTCTGTATTCCAGAAACTCATCCGGCTTTGCAAATGGATTAATTAGTTTTTCTTCAAGATTTATATATGTATATATTTTTCCACAACAATATAAATAATAAATCTTTCTATCTATATATATTCTAAAGCCTTATCTAAAGCCTTTGCAGCAGTTAATATTGTAAATTCAAAACATTTAATCTTAATTTGCATTTCTTTTAGGTTTTTAAGTAAGAGTAACTTATTCAGTGCCTTTTGGTGGTGACTGGTTTCATTTAACTTCTCTTCTAGAGCAACAACAGGGCAATCCATCAAAAGAAAATTGCAAAAAAGTCAAGTCAAAACTGGTAGAAATATTAATAATTCAAGAAATTCTGATATTTTTTTCTTTTGGCTGTACCACTTGTAGACCTCAGCATGTGTACTCTATCAACTGTATTAGAGGCTTTGTACACGCAGCACCGGGATTAATCTTACGTGACAGTTCCTCTCCTCTTTTGGTGGCTTTGGTGGGATCTGTAAATGGAAGTATGTCTGACCCTTTTCGCAGACAACCCCAGAGGCGGTGATTCCTCAGTGGGGTTGAGATGACAGGTGCGCCCGTGGAGGTTCAGACCCCGGTGCGATGGTGGTTGAAGTCTCTCTCAGCTCGTGTGACTCGGCTGTCGGCCCAGCGGTGGGACTCAAAGGGGGCCGGGGGATAGAACGGAGAAGCAACGGAGACTAAAGTATGTCCCCGAAGCATAACATGGTCTAAACCTGTCACCATAATTACTATATTGACTCATCATTCAATACAGGATAGATGGGACCTTTTTTTTTTTTTGCGGGGGGGGGTCAATATTTTTTGTTCAGGTCATTTTCTTTTTGTCCACTTTTTGTTCGCTCTCGACATGAACATCATTGGTTGGAGTTGGCGGTGTGATTTCAGCTCCCACAGATGAATGCTGTTGTTGTGTCCTTGGGCAAGACACTTAACCCACCTTTCCCCTAGTGTCTGTGTGAATGGGTGAGTGTTACCTTGATGTAAAGCGCTTCGAGTGCCTTGAAGGTGTTGAAAAAAAAAAGGTGTATTTTTGAGCTATAAAACCACCTGTAATTGAATTAAATGTTAGGTAGAACTGTTTATTAATGCCATACTGTGGAACATTCTAGGCATGGACATACACACATTGTACCTTTAAGTCTTGTATTCTGCTATTTATGTATTGCAGCTCTACATTTACATTGTTGTACATTTAGAATCGTATTTGGGGTTAATTCTGCTTTATGGTTTAGTTTCAGTATTATCGTTTATCATCCATATTGCTTCAATTGTGACAGACCTCGTTATGGACTTGGAACATGGAAACAACCAAAATATAAGTTCATTATGCTCGTCTTCAGAAGTAGTTTTCAAAATTCTGTGTGTATAACAATAATAGAATAATTTTAGAAGTAAAACCAACCTTGCATTTGAAGGATTTATGTCTGAGCAGCAGCAGCGAGTTGTACTTCCTGATAGAAAGCTTGGCAGTGGCGGACTGATATCACCTAGCACCTATCTTACGGGCAAATAAAATTCCGCTGCTGCTGAGAGAATAGTCCCTCAACATGTGACGATTCATGTGATGCAAGGTTAGTTTAATTTCAAACATTATTCTATCGACACAGACAGTCTGGTGTAATAATAGATTTGCTTTGGGTGTTTTGTGGAGTGGGTAAGACTGTTTTTAGTGGCAGGATAACTATGGCCATTGACATGCACTAGCCTAGCACCAGCGACCTCTGCAAATACAAGGACTGGATGGAATATTTTAAAAAGTGTCTCCACACGTCTCCAACACACTAGCTCACTAGGACCCCATTTACAATAAAATTAATCTGTGTATCAGCGTATCAGAAACGATCTGCGTCCAGACACGTTGTTTCTGTACCTGAAGTCAAAGCCTTCCCTGTCCACACAGAAACGCAAAACCGCCTGAAACGCTCGTCACGTGATAGGCTGGTGTCACGTCTTCACAACGTCCTGACATCACGTGAGCGGTAAAAACAAGGAAGTCTGAAGTTGCAGCAGCTGATTTTGAGCCAAGGGAGATGTCTTTTCGTGGACCGACGACAAGGTTCAGTTTTTACTTAGCGTAACACTGGATTTTAAGACGAGCATGGCGGCTCAGACTGAGGACTGACTCGTTTCTGTGTCCACAAGCCTTCCCTATCTACACAGCTTTAAGCATATATGTTTACGTTTTACAGAAATGAAACTTAAAACCATATGGGCTAATTTGCATAAACTAAGTGCTCAAAAAACAGCTCGCTGTTGTGCGCTGATGCAGTTAAGCTTCTGTCGGACTAAAGGACACGACTCAGTGGATTATATGTTCTTTCTGTGACAGAGGGGTGTTCTGCTGATGGTGAGTTTGTTCTGTTCTATTGTGTTGGAGAGAGTTCATGTTAAACTTTTCAGAGATTATATGAATGGACATATATTCCAGCCTCTTAGCATTTTGGCGCTGAATTGGCTACATCAGCGTATCAGCGTTTTCAGGCATCCACATGGTGCTGGATCAGATCCGTACTAATTTGTGGGAGCTGGTGGCAACAGATCATTCCATCTCTGGAGCAGTTTTCAATTTTCGGATTAGTGTGAACGAGAACTGCATTCGCAACGAAAACGATTAGAAAACGATTCGAAAACGTACTCGTGTGGACGAGGCCTAGGAAATGAGGTCCTGTGTCCAAAATTCTGGACTGTCCCTTTAATTTAAACAAAGCTGTTCAGTAGTGATTTGAAGGATTAATAGTTACATAAACACAGTTGGATCCTCTTCTATAATCACTTAACTGTTTTTTAAAGAATTAAGTGTCATCTTCTAACAAAAACACAAAAAGCTAGACTGGTGAATCCCTTGTAAAAAAAAAAAAAAAAAAACTAAGTACTCTGAACACCACAGTGAACAGCTCGGCTTTCATGGAGATTGCAGTGTGACACTCTATACTCAATATATTTCAAAAGGAGAATCTTAAGGCCCATATCATCCACGATAAAGCATCTTTATTGCACGGCGTGTTGACCAAAACATTTGCATATTATGCTTGACTGTTGTCTCAGATAAAAATAAGCACGTCAAGATATGTTCCATTTGTGTCAGTGGAACACTAATAATAGAGATGGACCAGTTTGAGAAATGTATGCAAGCGTGGCAGCTCCCGTGAGTGTGTCCGCAGTGAATATAGAAAACTGTCAACACCAAATGAGCAGTAGCATGTAATAGCCACTCGCTGACATGGACCAAAGGCTCAGCTAAAAACTAATTAGGCGGACTGCACATAAACACACCGCTCAGAATGAGATGTTTGCACTTCCCACATGGTGAGAGCTAATTAAATAGTTTTGGCCAGTGATGCAGGAAAGTAAACATACAATATTTTTTCCATCTGCTCCATTTTATTGACAGAGATATCAAACATGTAGCATCATGATTTGAAAATGCCTTATTAATTGATTCTGTACGGTTTTATTTTGACTCTAGTAACGAGGAGTGTAAAATGGGGGTGAAGAGCGGGGAGGGGTATTCAGAAAATTGTCAGAGCCGGTGTTATGACTAGTCAAGTTTTGTAAAGATGTTCTGCTGGTATATCAAAAAACTGACAGCTCCGCCTATAAAAGATAGCTTGTCAAAAAGAGATACCCGCATTGATTAAATATTTGACATTTTATTACACAGGTATGCAGTAAATTTGATAGTTCAAAGTAGCATTATAATAATGTCCACACTTTCCATATGCGAGAGGTTATGGCTCTGTTTGGAAATGGAATATGAATGATGGAACTGGAAGCTATGGAAGGGCTGATTTATGACTGGGTGAGAGTACACATGGAGGACAGGAGCTGGGCCAGTTAACGGTAGAATTTATTACAAAAAGTGAATTAAAAACATGAATAAAAATGCCCAAAAATTACTAAAAGTCAATAGATAAATTATTAAAATCCATAAAACAAGTTGGGCTAAAAACAAATATAAAAAATTGTTAAAAGTTCCTTAAAAGCACCAGTGCAGGGGAAAGTGCAGTGCAGATATTCCTTTGGCAGCTCGATTGTTGGTCCAGTGACATCCCCCTCGGGCGGCACGAGAGAGTACGCGACATCCAGGCCTTAGGGTGCGTTGGTGGAGTGTTGCTACAATACTTAAATACTTATACTTCTTCCCGATCCTTCACTCAGCTGGCTTCGGCACGATGAGAAACCTACTCGGATCAACAACAAACAAACGACAGTGTGCACCCCGTCAACTGCGATAGCCCTAAGCTATTTCCCGACAAGTATTACTACAATTCACATTACTCCCACGGAATGGCGGGGATCTCTGCCTCATCTCTGCTCCAATCTCCTGCTCCTCTGCTGCCCTGCTGTCCGGCTTCCGTGCATCCCCTGTGCATCAGTGCGTCTCCTCCCTGGTGTTTACAGGTGTGCTGCATGAAAAGTGCTGAGTGCATGTAAAGTTACAGCAGGCATCAATAAAAACAGAAAGGCATGCATTCAAAATAAAACAGAAAATAAACACTAAAAAATCTTCAAAATAAAAGCTTAAAGCCATGTCATATAATATAATTTAAGTACATGATTTATTTAAGTACATGCAAGTATTTAGTTTAAAATTCATATAAATTGCAAAAATCTGAAATGACTTGAAGTTCAAAGCAGACTTCTTGGACAAAAGACTTGAGACTTACTTGAGACTTACAAAACATCGACTTGGTCCCACCTCTGAAGTTTCCAGGCCTTTGTTGCACAGAGCAGAAAAACTGACAGGAGATGGAGAGAAAACACAACCTTAAAGAAGCTCTACTTTGAAATATGCAAATATGTTTCACCAACATCTGCTGAGCCTGATGGAGAAGCTCTACGGAGATTTCCACTTCACTTTCCCCACTTCTGTTGTGTTTTTGTCAAGTATAAACTACTATTTAAACCACAGTTAGTGAGTTGTTTGAAGAAAAAAATTCAAGTTAATCTACAAGACCTGCATTCCTTTTATTTATTTTTTTTGTTTAGCTTTCTATCGTTTTACAATGTTGTTCTCTCATCAAAAATATCCATACATGTCAGAGTAATCTCTCCCAGTCCTTTATATGAACTCTTCTCATGATTAGCTGTAATATTCAGTGCAATTCTCAGCAGCCTACATCACACGTGCCACCACACTGCAGTGTTCTATAAATATACAAAACAGTATGCAACAACTTCACAAACCTGATGTGATGTGATGAGTTTCATTAGAATGCAGAGTGAATGTAATGTGACAGCGCTCTGAAGAGGGAGTGAAAGCAAAGGGAGGGGGATTCAGAACATCAAAAACAAAACTGAAGCTTATTAAACACGTCAATACATTGTTTTCGGCAACTATAGCAATTTCAAAACAATAAAAAGGTAAAATGCTCCTCTTTAAAAGGTCCTAAATTACTCAAAATTGACTCTTGTGAACTTAAAGTCATGTTAGAATGTTTTTACCTTGTCATAAACATTTTGTGAGTTGTGTTTTGTTTCATTCACACATTTGAGTAATCCTGTTAGTCTGTCTACATCTCCTAAGCAAAAAATGCTCCATCTAGTGCTGACATGAAGCTGTAGTGTTTTTGTGTTAAAATGTGTGAATGAAATAAAATACTACTCCAGGTATGTTTTTGATGAGAAAACAACTTTATAACATATATAGGCCCTTTAATGGTGAACCATGTATTGCATTTTTTGGACTAAGTCGCACTTTTTTTCATGGTTTGGGTGGTCCTGTGACTTATATATTAAAATGTTCACACTGACAGCCATGAGAGGGCACTCTAGGCTTGTGTATCAGTATCTGCTGCTCCTATTACTCCTGTACCGCTGTCACTTGGCTCTAGTGCGCATGTCTCCTGCAGAAAGAGCCACTGTCCTGTCTGCATCATGTCAGTCGATCGCACCACTTTGGTACCAGTGAAAATTAGAAATTTAAACCAACTTATAAAGAGATCTGAAAAGACTGAACACAAATTCCCCCAAAAAGAAAATCATATTTTTTTCCAAATACAAGCTGCAAGTCGTGAAATATGCAGCTGAAAATGGTAATCGAGCAGCAGAAAGAAAGTTTGGAGTGAGTGAGAAACTTGTGACACCGGGAGGGTGTGACATGCAAGTTTCCTGGAAGTCATTGGATGGATCAACAAAGCTTGGACTTCAGTGACAACCGAAACCATCCTGTCAGAATTCAGAAAAGCCGGAATAATTCTAACTGGAACTGATGCCGAGGAAGTGGTGCTCCGTTTACCTCCGGAGGTCACGGAGTTGCTCAGAAGTGACACCGAGGATGAAGAATTCAATGGATTTAGTGATTTGGAGTGAGATGGAGACTTTGGTAAACTTGTTATGTTCTGTTGCAGCCTGTTGCAGCTAAAACCTGGAACAGTCTTCCTGAACATGTGAGACAGGCATCTTCTGTGACGCTGTTTAAATCCAGGCTCAAAACATTTCTGTTTAACACTTACCATCCACCGCCCGCCGGCGGGCGATTTTCCAATAAAAAATGTTCACTCTGTATATTCACCTTCATTATTGTTTTCACTACTGGCATGCCATACATCGTTTGAAAGCTTAATTTATCAATAAAACAACCATATCATTCATTTTATGCCGTACAACGAGCCCGAATTTATGTGAATTTAAAAATTCACATCATAAACAAAGAATAAGATACGCGTTTCTTACCTTTGAGCCGGTTCTGTCGGTCCAAAACGCGTTCAATCCATGAAAAGTTGTACTCAATAAATCCGTAATAATCCACAGAAAAAGAATATCAAGTTGTTTTTCCAAAAAATAATTCCATGTGGGGAAATAATCCAGAAAATCGTCGTCCGTATGAGTGGATGAATCCGTGAATGAAAATATGTCTCTTCTCCGCCTCTTCTCCCGCTCTCACTTCCCTTTCTCTCCCGCTCTTGGGTGCGCTTGTTTTCCTCACACTCTTAGCTTCAAAATGAGACCCTCCCCGCTGTTGTCGGTGTCGGGGTTTAGGTGGGACAAGCCGCTGAAGAAGCTAACGCACTCACGTACTTCCTGGCTTTACGCACGCGTCATCAGTTTGTTTACGGGAAATCTCTTCAGTCATTGGATCTTCCAGAAAGTGATTGACATATTGTTTTAGCCTATCACCAGAGCTTTCAAACGGTGGGCGGACATTCAGATAGTATTGGAAACGGACCCTGTGTTTATACGCGCAGCCGAGAGGGACCAGGAGAGAGACACAGAGAGCAGTAGTAGTAGTAGCAGAACAGCCACTTGGAAGACAATTTTGGCTACTTTTAGTTTTTTTTCTTGAGAAAACATGCCCAGCTCAGAAGAATTAGTATTATAATAATAACAATGATTATTATTATTATATTATTATTATTATTTTGGCACAAATTTGGCAATCTTGTGCCGAATTGTCATTTTGTATACACAAAGGCTCACAGCATCAAAACCCTTTGTCCTAGAGATCTGAAATTCTACACAGTTGTTGCCAACAACTTGAACAATGAGTGTAGTGAGTCACAAATGCCTAGCATGAAGTATGCCCAAGCTAAGGCCTTTATTTTTTTTTCGAAGCAAAAAAATATTTTTTTTTTTTCAATTTTAATTGACTGTACTGTAGGTTAGGCAGCACTCACAGTCTTCATGTACATATCTACAGAAACTAGAAGGCCTAAGCTTTAAAATGGTGCCTCACACAAGCATGTGGGTTCTAAGGTTTTCTTTTAATAAGCTATGGCATTTGGGTATGTCTTACCATTGTGCACACACCAAAATGAGGCGGGTGGTAACAGGTTAACTGTGCATATAACTGAAAGGTTTTCATTCCGCACTCTTCTCTCCAATTTATGTCTCTCTTTTTTAATTTTAATCTTCATGATTATTTATTTGTTTTTATTATGATTTTAATGTATTTATTATTCTGTAAAGAACTTTGAATTACTTTGTGTACGAATTGTGCTATACAAATAAACTTGCCTTGCCTTGTTGTTTATGTTCTAGTTTAATCTGAAGAACTGTTCATATGTGACGTTAACAGTCTGTTGTTCTCTGTTCTATTGTTATTACTAGAACTTGCCTTTCAAGATGACATGTTGGTTCGTGGTTTCTGATTTTATAAAATAAATTTCCCCCAAAAAGTGTGACTTATAAATTTTTTTCTTCTTCATTATGCATTTTTGGAACAACTTATAGTCCGGAAAATACGGTAACTATGTATGTACGGTGCAGGGTCTTCTACCTTTTAGTATCCTTATAGATGGTTTAGCTTTGCCTGGCAGTACACTTATCATTTTTGCTAAATAACGGAATATAAACACCAGGATTACATAGAACATTTTAAGACCAAGATGGCGAGCCTGACAGTAACAGTTACAGCTAGTGGGGAAATGTTTTTTTCAATACAAAGTGAATTGGAGCCAGAGTCAAAAGTGCTCACTTCCTCTTTGAAACATGGTGGTTAGCTGTGTCCATTTACATACACAGTCTACAGTTAGCTCTGACGAAAGTACACTTTGAGACTACATGACCACCTCAGAACAGAACATTTTATTTCAGAGAAACCAATGGGTGTAAAGAGTATTCAAAGACTGAAGAGCAGAGACTGTGGCTGCCGCTGGAAGTTGGCGCAGTCACACCAATTACACTCCCAGTTTAATTAGTAATGAGTGTAATGAACGCTGAAGGCCATCCAGCACTTCCGTTTACAGAATGAGAGCTCAAAATGGAGTCACTCACTTAGCATGTTCACCAGCAGACAGCATTAGTCCCAGCACTGCCTCATATCAAACAGAGATGTGATTTTGCTCGCAGTCTTTTAGACATTAAAATGCTTGACTTGGTTTGGTGGGGTTGTAGCTGTGGTAAATATTGTTCATAGTTTTACAGTTTGTGGACAAAAGTAGAAAAAAAAGCACAAAAATACAGAAAGTAGAGCTGTGTTCTGTCACTATCTAAAACTACGTTCAGACTGCAGCCTGAAGTGACCCAAATCCAATCTTTTCGTCCTGATATCCTGTATCTGATCTTTTAATGACAGTATGAACAACACAGATCCGACTTTTTCAAATGTGACCCAGGCCACTTGGATACGCGCTCCTAAAACCGATACATATCCGATCTTTTGACATGTGACTTCAGTCTGAACGGCCAGGTCACATTCATCCCACCTACATGTCAGGCTCGGAGTCTCGTCAATGGAGGGAAAGCGAGGTTAGAGAGTTCATTCATATTTGCGGGGGATCCCTGTTTTCAGGCCAAATTGGAGGAGTCTTATTGGAACTGGACGGTTTTTGAAATGTCCGAGCGCGGCTACAGATAGTCCTGGCTCCAACGTCAACAAAAAATAAAGACCCTGCGAGTCAAAAACAAGGAGGATAAAGACTCAAACAAACGAAGCAGCCGTGGACGTGTAACCTGTCCATTTTAGGAAGAAATGTACCGTATTTTGGGAGACAAGTCCAGCGTTTAGGTGCATGTGGGACACTTTTGGGGCGTTTAAAGTTCACATTGGAGATCACATACAAGTCGCATTTAATTGGAAATGTGAACGATTTCATAAAAAAATCCAAATTGAGCATTAAGCCCTGCATTCTGAACACAGCCTAAGTCATCAACAGAAAATTATTTTAAAAAATAACAAAATAGCACCTATGTATGTCCCATCCGCTGCCCTGTCCAATTAGGAAATAAAATTATAAGCCTCACCAAAATCCAAAAATAAGAATTAGAAAAAAAAACACTTACAATTTGACAAAAATGGTAAAATAATCACAAATGAACCTAGATTGCCAATGCCTAAACCAATCCTGACTTTTCTCATTCTCAGTATCTGGACAACATTCACTGTGACTGCACCAAATTATGTCCAATGTTGATGTAAGTAAGAATAAATCAGTAATAAATGTTTTTTTGTGATTTCTACCATGTTATAACAAGATTTATGATCCATCCGTGCATGTTTGAGCAATTGATGATAATGGTTAACCCTTCAAGACCTAAGAGCAATATTAGTACATTTGTCCTCGCCTGGATTTTTTTCCTTAATTTTGCTGTCAAAATGTCCCCTTTTACCCCCTAATGAAGTGTTATACATCTTTTTCTTTTTTTTTTCAGTACAACCTGGCAAACACCATCTGCGTGCTGTAGTTGTGTCATATGGCTGTAATAAAAGCTATAAGACGAGAAATACAAATGAAAAATAAATAAATTAAACAAAAGAAAATTCACACCCTTTCATACAAAACACAGTAAACGTGTATAAACAAATTTCTGGACATTAAAAAAAATGCTTAATTTAGGGCCTGAGCTACAAAAGTGCAAAATATCAAGTCTGTAAGTAAACTAAAAATATCCTTATGCCCTCAAAACAAAACAAAAAAGTGCAATAATCCTTTTACTTTCCTGTTGACAGTCATGGAAACAGCTAGTGTCAGGTCCAGGACACATCACTTCCTGCATTTCCATGGTGTTTATTAGATTTGGATTTGGACATTTGGACTGAACCTTTCAAATAAAAATAGCAAGGGGTGCACACTTACACAGACCAAGATGCATAATTTATTTGAGAAATAACTGCACTTAGAGCGGCTTTTTCAATTGTTACGAACACAGACGCTCAGAACAGTCAACCATTTTAACTCACTACGCTCTTTGGCAAAGTTTGGGCCAATCAAAATGGATGGAGCTTATGAGTTTGGCGGAAAACAAAGTTCCTATTGGACACTCGTTTTCCCTATGTAGGATAATGCCTGAAATATACCCGGAAAGCCACAACTCTCAGCTTTTCAAGGGGAACAAAATTAAATTTCTATCTTTTATGGTCGGAAAGTTATACACGGTTATATAAAACATATTCCTAGGTATTGTATACGATACCGTCAGTCTGGAAGGGTTAATGTTGGTTATGGACATATACTTAAAGCTACACTGTTGAAATCAGAACAGAAAAAGCTGGATTGGTGCATCCCTGATAATGTTAACTGTGTTTTTGTGAAATGACCAGTCTAACCTGCCATACCCACTTTAAACTTCACAGTCTGTGCAGAGGAGCTGTTGTTTGTCCACTGGCGAGTGTGTGCAGGTCCGGCATTTGAAATTTAAGTCTTGTAAAAAGTCCAACTCACCTGCACTGGAGCATGGCAGATGGCTGTCTGAGGGAGAGTCTGAGGAGCAGGGGAAGAAAAGTGCTCTGGATGTGTGAAATGTGAAACACTTTTGGAGCGGCGCACAAACAAGCATCGCCTTCAGCTGTCCTTGGACGTGCTCGGGCTTGACCAGGGGGAGCCGCTCTTTTATCTGCTGCTGCTTAGCCCGGACAGCCTCCACAGACCGGCTCTCTGCACTGGCCAGCAAATGAGCTCATACTGTGGGTGTGGAAGAGCAAAGCAAAACATGAATTAAGTGACCTAAGCCAAAGCTTCTCAAACTGCAGTACACTGCTTCAAAATTCGATACCGATACTCTTGGTTGAAAGTGTGTTCTGGAATAGCTCTAGTTTGAGATGGCCAAGTCCTTGTTTAAAGACAGGGTATTACACTTCTATTGTGTATTAACTGCTAACAGATTAATATGTTATCAGGTTTGTCATTTTTTCAGATTTCAGATTTTTGTATCATGCTTTAATGCACAAGTGTCAAACATACGACCCAGGGGCCAGATCCGACTCTCCAAGACCTTTAATGTGGCCCTTGGGTGATTTTCTACTAAAATATTTTAATTATATTTTCTATTAAAATATTGGTAATTTTCTGTGGTGTTTATCATAACAGCATCTCCAGCGTCTCTGTACGTGGCCCCTCCCACCAGAGCAGCACAAATGAAGATTTGTCTCTTTCCAAACGCTCTTAAAGGACGATCGTTTTGACTATTGACCGTGACACCCTCATCAGCAAAATGTCCAACATGAGAAAAGTGGAGCCAAGTGCAGGATTTTCCAAGAAAAACTGACTTATTCCTGTTTACATACAAGTTCATGTTAAGACATTGTGTTGAAATTTAATTTTTCTTAAAGTTTCAGGTTGTTCATAATATTATAATATAATAAGAAAGAGTTCATCAATTAAAAAAGATTTCTGTAATAGATTTGTGTTTCTCTGCACAAATATTTGAACTTATTGTTATTTTTGGGGTTTATATGACATGAGTTTTCTGATCCGGCAACTTGGGGATCAAAGTAGGTTGGATACGGCCCCCGGACCAAAATGAGTTTGACACCCCTGCTTTAATGGATGATGTAAGGTTGAGGCCTGGGCATTGGTCAGAATTCTGCCCTACTTTTATTTATTTATTTTAATTAATGTGACAGGGACAGTGCACAATTTTTGCATTAACCTTAACAGGAGAGATGCATTGTACATCAGGTTGTAGCATCAGGGCTAATTTCCACCTGTCGTCCCTGGGCAGATTCATTGATTGATTATATTTAACTGACCTTGACTATTGTAAGATTACGGATGTAACTCCGGCCTCTTACTAGCCCAGGAAAGCCGTAGCACCCGAGGGGTCAACAAAAACGAAGAAAAGAAAATAAGTTCTTCACCTTTTTTTAATTGGCCACACCAAGAGCAAATCTGACAGCATGTCCCCATGACAGACAACAGGCAACAAACACCGTGACAAAAAATTCCCCTTCTATAGCTTGGCCTAAACCACTAAGCCCCAGACAGGTAAATATGAACTTTTAAAAATGACTAAATATATGATTATACTAATCTCAACTATTTACATTTCATAAACTAATATTGCACTTGGCTACATTAGAATTATCCATTCTTAAATATTATTTCATGTATTAGATAGATAGTTAAAACCATTTCGACAGTTAAACCTCCCCTCCCCCAGCAGCATTTGGCAGAGTCCAAATCAGGGTGATGGGATGCACCTGGCCTGCACTGATAAGGGCACGCCTCCAAATCAGTGCCTCCACCAATCACCTCGAAGGAAAGGAGAAGAGGAGTGAAACAGGGAAAATGAACATGGCATCAAATGAATATAAGTGAAAACATGAAGGTTTACACCTGATGAGTGAGGGTGTGTCCTGTAGCTCCCTCACAACTATCAACTGTTCTTGGACACCTATGTACCATGTTTGGGTACAAAGGCAAAAGACGTTAACTCGCCAGAGAGTGAAGCTAACAAAAATGACTTCAAATTTTTATTTTGTCCAAACAACAGTATAAGAGGTCGGACTCCCAAAATTTGACAAGTAGTTGCTATAATGAAGAAATATTTGTATGTGAAAAATACTGAGCTCAGAATTGGCCTTTGACCCTTATTTGGCAATTCCTGTACTCTGCCTTTATATCATGAGCCAAAAATAAGTTTTTGTGCAAAGGCAAAAGGCAGAAACTGATATGATCATTATTATTTGCTTGATTTTCCCCAGACTTCCATCTGTTATAAGAAAACCTCACCAAGGTCGAGTCATCATGGTGTTTGCTTGAAATGATCTAGAAGAGCTTTGGATTTCCTGTTTAGTGCTGATCAGGATCGTGCGATAACACTTACACAGTAAAACAGTTTGACAGATGAGTTACTTTGCAGTATATTATGAATAAATACACAAAAGACTTTCACATTAAAGATAATTTAAGTATAATTGAACACAAAGGTATATTAAGACCCTGTGCTAAGGCCGCAACAAACAGAAGGAGGTGAGAGGTTGGACTGTAAAATAAAGTATATTTATTAACTAAATCACAAACAAAACATACACTGTTACTGCCTTTTGCCATTGCACAACTCTTTATTTTTGGCTCATGATACAAAGGTAGAGTACTGGAACTGACAAATAAGAGTCAAAGGTAAATTTTGAACTCAATATTTTTCACGATAAAGGAGGTCTCAAGCACATACAACATGATATGAACACATTTTTGACCAAACATGATATTACAGCATTCTGCCTTTGTAGGGCAGAATTATTCTGCTATCTGTAAGAAAGGTTCAAACAGGGACCAGAAGAGATTGCTAGATTACTCAAACATACATGAATGACACCTAAAACCTCTTCAGGCATGTTTTTTTAATGAGGAGACAATTATAACATGGTAGAAACTTGATTTTGCATAATACCACCAACTCATATCAAATTTAAAGTAAGCAGTTTATTGTTGTGGCAGCTCAAAAACTAAAATTTTAGCTGTGTCTATAAAAACACAGAGACTAGCCTGACTATCCACTGTGTGCAGCCTGCGCCTGTAGTGGTGGAGCAGGCCTCTGGACTACAGCGATCAGAGAGAGATTTATTCTGCCTTGGATCATCACGGACCTCACACACACATTAAGTCTTGTCTTCATTAACAAAATGCCCCAATGTTTCTCCTGTGATTTACATGTTCTTCTAACAGCAACGTCAGTGGCCCTCACCAACTGTGACTCTTTATGAAGCTCACTTCCAAATCCCCTACCACTAATTCTGCATATTAAACTTTCTAATGAGGTGAGCCATTTATATACAGTATATCCTCCATAGCAGCTGATGCCATCCATTATGTTGTGACTGTGGCCAAGAACATTCAGCTGTTGTACAAACAGAGCTTTATATGTCCTAAAATATGTCATTTTCCCATAAATGTGCAATAAAAAAAATCATTTTGTACTTACAGTATTTTTGTTTCTATCGTCCACTCTGTTAAACTGCTCTGTGCCATTTCACCAGCAGCCATCTGCAAGCTGTTTGGAAATGACAGCTTTTCTGTGCAAATGTTAAAAATCACACTTTGAAAAATTTGTCATCTAAGCCCAAAAATAAGCAGAATAACCTTTATGGCATGCTGCCTGCTCACCTGTCCTCACACTATTATAAAAAGCAGTCCTTCCATCTGTTTGCTGTGTGTGCTCCGTCTGAGGGAGGGTCTTTCAGCAGACCTGTTCACACCTCATTCATGCCTCATTCATCCTCTGTTACAGCCAGCGTGCACAGAGGAGCTGTGAAAATGTTCTATTTTACCCTTTCTTTGTAAAAGACACACATCACATAAAATGGACTCTTCTGCACTTTTAACCATGTTAAAATGTTGTTCTTTAATCAAAAACAAACTTGTTTTTGCATCCTTCATTTGGTTGTTTCATTAATCCTGTTTATGAAGTTGCAGGACTTTGTAAACAGGATTGACATCAAAGGGGAAATGCTACACCGTTTTTAGGTCCATAAATCATCACCAGATTCATTCTGAGCATTTCTACCATCAAACTGTTCATTACAACTGCATGTTTATATCAGCATTAGCTTGTTTAAATAGCTTCTTTTTTTTTTTTTCATTCTCACTGCTGCCAGTGATGGAAAATGACTGAGAAGAGTAGTGAGAATTTTGAATGTGGTCGGAGTTATTCTTTGATTGGCCAAAAGTCAAAACTAGGGCTGGGCAAAAATAAAAAATAAAAAAAATTCTTAAGTGCATTAATCGCAAGTGTTCCTGTAATTAATCATGATTGCATAATTGCATGTTATACGCAAAACCAATTAATGAATTCAAAAGTAGTGTATAGCACACTTTTATTGGAAATGTAAACAAAAGTGCCATATATTTGTTGTGCAAACAGCCTTACTTTATACAGTAAAATGAGAATCTCAGCGAAAAAACAGTAAAAACAGTACACATAACCAGAAAATGTAATATAAAACATAACCAGTGCAGTCAATGCTAAGAACTTTTTAAAAAAACTTTTCTGCACTTTTCTCTCAAGCAAGTTGCTAAGGCAGACATATCAAACCCATATCAAACTATAATTATATTTGGCCCGTGAGATCATATCAAATATGTATTAGAGCTGCCTGCTGGCTACAGATAAACTATAGAGACATTATTTGTTTAAAATGTTTTTATTATTTTATATTCTGCTTGTTCTGGATTCGGTGTTTAAGAAAAACTATTATTAAACATTTATTTTAAAAAGAAAAGGTTTAACATTACATATCTCAAAAGAAGAGAAAACACGCAGATGTTGTTTAAATTGTTAAATAAATACTTAGTTTGGACCACGACTTAGTCCCAGTTTTTAATTTTGGTCCTCTGTGAATTTGAGTTTGACACCCTCTGCTAAGGCATACAAGATCATTATTATTAAGAATGAAGTTGTGACGAAGAGTGATCGACCTCGCTGTGCCCCCGAAAGCTCTTGGTGCCCTTTGTGCTGTGCGTAATGCGCGACGGCTCTGACACGCTGCATCTCACGTGGTCGGCCGAAGCCTCGCTCCACTTGTTTCACTGAATGAATTCAGACTCGTGAAACTCCGATGATAAGACCATTCAGTGTTGCAGTGTTACAAATGACTTGTGTCGACTGCGCCGTCTGAAGAACTTTAAAATGAAAATGGCCATGTAAAAGTCCCTTACCCTTCTTCATGTTTGTTTATCACACTTTCTTTCTCTCTGTTTACTGTGATCGCAGCAGCAGTAAGCAACACTGTAGGCTCGCTCACGATGGACTTTTTCAAAATAAAAAACAGTGAGTGACAGACATGTAAAATAATGAAAATAATAATAATAAAAACTGGATTAAGGGGAGAAAAATAATTGTTGGTGATAATGAATTTATTAGTTAATGCAAAATTAACAAATTAACGTGCCCGGCCCTAGAAAACACATTTATTATTTTGACCACAATTAGGATGTTTAATACCATACTAGATGATAAAATACACAAAACAATAAGAAGTCCACAGGGCATTTCACACAGAAGTAAGAGAAATGCAAGCATACATGTGAGTTCCCTGTTGTTAACCATGGAATATGAACTTTCACTCCACCAGGTGAGGAGACTGAGGTGTGAGCGCCGCAGTAGGTCTCACATCTCATACTGTACACTGAGTGAGAGTGTGTGAGGTTATTAAGTTTCACCTGAGGAGTGGTGACAGAGATCTGACATTTACTTGGTGTCTTGGTGTCTGAGCCCTCATCGCCCTCCCTCATCCTCCCTGCGTCAGGGTCATTCCAACATCCCCTGGGTTCAACTGGAGCCATGTCACTTTAGTGAGTTTGTCAGCGTGTCAGAGTTGGTCCGACATGCCAGTGAATTCCTCGTATCTCCAGAGGCCTCGAGCGGATCGCCTTCTGTATTACACAGGTTCTGCAGCAGGTCACATGTCACGCTTCCTCGTTTGGTGGCCCCGGTTTTGCTTCAGCAGCTGAGTGACAGTGGCGATGGTGAACCTTTGGTCCCTTCAAACAGCTGCGATGGAGGCTAAAGGAAGGAAAACTCTTACAAAAAAACCCCGAAAAAAAACAAACCAAAAACACTGGCCCTCCAAGTCTCTGTGGGTTGAGGATAGGGGCAACATCTCTATCTCAAAGGGAAAAAAGCTGTTTCGGCAAAGGAGATAATTTTAAAAGGGCCAATCTCATGGAAAATAACTCTTTTCACATTGTATCTTCTGCACATATACAAGCACAATTCGGGTTTTGGAACGTCCGTTACGAAATAGATATGAAATCTTACTGATTCCTTGGAGACAGTCACAGACCAGGAAGTATGAAAGACCGACTATTGCTCACCCCCCGCCCGCCCTGAGAAAGCACAGGCTCCGCCCTCCAAACGTGACGTAGACTGAGTGAGCCGCCCTTCCTCCGCCCATCTCAGGGAGGGAGGG